ACACGCCAACACCACCCTCCCCCTACACACCACCACCACCGCTCCCCACACACCCAACACCACCCTCCCCACACACCACCACCGTCTCCCCACACGCCAACACCACCTCCCCCCACACACCCACCACCGCCCTCCCCTACACACCAACACCACCCTCCCCCACACACCAACACCACCCTCCCCACACACCACCACCGCTCTCCCTACACGCCAACACCACCCTCCCCTACACACCACCACCGCCCTCCCCACACACCACCACCGCCTCCCTCCCCACACCCAACACCACCTCCCCTACACACCACCACCCCTCCCCACACGCCAACACCGCCCTCCTCCACACGCCAACACCGTCTCCCTACACCACCACTGCCCTCCCCTACACGCCACACACCACCCTCCCACACACCAACACCACCTCCCCACGCCAACACTGCCCCTCCCCTACACACCAACACCACCCTCCCCACACACCACCACCGCCCCTCCCCCCTACACGCCACCACCACCCTCCCCACACACCACCACCGCCCTCCCCACACGCCAACACCACCCTCCCCCCACACCACCACCGCCCCTCCCCACACGCCAACACCACCTCCCCCTACACGCCACCACCGTCTCCCCTACACGCCAACACCGCCCTCCCCTACACGCCAACACTGCCCTCCCTACACCCACCACCGCTCCCACACCACCACCTCTCCCCACACGCCAACACTGCCCTCCCCACACACCAACACCACCTCCCCTACACACCACCACTGCCCTCCCCTACACGCCAACACCACCCTCCCCATACCCAACACTGCCCTCCCCACACCCAACACCGCCCTCCCCTACACACCACCACACCCCCCTCCCCTACACCCACCACTGCCCTCCCCTACACACCCACACCACCCCTCCCCTACACACCACCACCGCCCTCCTCTACACGCCAACACCACCCTCCCCTACACGCCACCACTGCCCTCCCCTACACGCCAACACCGCCCTCCCCTACACACCAACACCACCCTCCCCTACACACCACCACCACCCTCCCACACACCAACACTGCCCTCCCTACACACCACACCCCTCCCTACACACCACCACCGCCCTCCCCTACACACCAACACCACCCCCTACACACCACCACCGCTCCCCCCCCACACGCCAACACCGCCCTCCCCACACGCCACCACTGCCCTCCCCTACACCCACCACCGCCCTCCCCACACACCACACCACCGCCCCTCCACCCCGCCCTCCCCAACCACCACCCTCCCACACACCAACACCACCTCCCCTACACACCACCACCGTCTCCCCACACCAACACCACCTCCCCCACACACCACCACGCCCCTCCCCACACGCCAACCCACCCCTCCCCCACACACCACCACTGCCCTCCCTACACACCACCACTGCCCTCCCCCACACACCACCACCTCCCCCTACACACCACACCCCCTCCCCTACACACCAACACCTCCCTACACACCACCACCGCCCTCCCCTACACGCCAACACCACCCCTCCCCCACACACCACCACCCTCCCCTACACGCCACCACTGCCCTCCCCTACACGCCACCACCTCCCTACACCACCACGCCCTCCCCACACGCCAACACCGCCTCCCTACACCCACCACTGCCCTCCCCACACGCCACCACCGCTCCTCCCCACACGCCACCACCGCTCCCCACACGCCACCACGCCCTCCCTACACGCCAACACCACTCCTCCCTACACGCCACCACCGCCCTCCCCACACGCCACCACCGCCCTCCCCTACACGCCAACACCACCCTCCCTACACGCACCACCACCGCCCTCCCCACACGCCAACACTGCCTCCCTACACGCCAACACCGCCCTCCCCTACCGCCACCACCGCCCTCCCCTACACGCCAACACCGCCCTCCCCTACACGCCAACACTGCCCTCCCCACACGCCAACACCCCTCCCCACACCCACCACCGCCCTCCCCTACACACCACCCACACCCTCCCTACACACCAACACCACCTCCCCTACACACCACCACGCCCTCCCTACACCAACACCACCTCCCTACACACCAACACCACCCTCCCCTACACACCACCACCGCCCTCCCCTACACCACACCACCACCATACTTGTCCATCAGCTTTCCCTTACAACAAAAACCTCCCCTACCACAAAACAAGTTCACCAGCTAGCTAATAAATTAAGTCGTTCCACCTACTGAAACACACACACAAAACCACTGTCAAGGTTATCAACAACTCGTAGTTAACCAGATTGTTCACGCCCTGCCAACCATACTTTTGTATTGTTACCCGCCCCCCCCCATGTTATTATACAGTATTATACAGTGTTGGGTTTTATATCTAGAAATTGGGTTTTATATCTAGATATTGAGTTTTATATCTTGAAGTGTAAGTAATAAGAGTGCTGAGGTCTTATTGCAACTATATCTTGCGCTAGTCAGGCCGCACCTCGATTATGCGGTTCAGTTCTGGTGCCCTTATTATAGAATGGATATCAATTCACTAGAGTCGGTGCAGCGAAGAATGACGAAAATGATTCCGGGACTTAGAAACCTTCCATATCAGGATAGGTTAAAGAAACTAACTTGCATTCCCTAGAAAGACGAAGAGTGCGGGGAGATATGATAGAAGTATTTAAGTGGGTGAAAGGAATCAATAAAGGTGATATAGATAAAGTTCTTATAATATCCGAGCAGGATAGGACTCGGAACAACGGATTCAAGTTGGATAAGTTTAGGTTTAGGAGGGAGATAGGAAGGAACTGGTTTACAAATAGGGTGGTGGACGAGTGGAACAAGCTTAGCAACCTTGTAGTAAGTGCTGGAACGCTGGAAAGTTTCAAAGGGAGGCTGGATAGATTCATGGATGATAGAGAGTGGTAGTAACTCTTGACAGGAGCTGCCATGCACAGGCCAACCGGCCTATTGCAGACTCTTTATTTTCTTATGTTCTTATGTCTTCTCCCCCCACACACACATCCCTTTCTCCCCACACACACACACCCCTCTCCCCCACACACACACCCCCCTCTCCCCCCACACACACCCCCCCCCACACACACACACACACCTCTCCACCCCACACACACACCCCTCTCTCTCCCCCCACACACACACACCCCCTCTCCCCCCACACACACAGTCCCCTCCCCCCCACACACACCCCCCTCTCTCCACCCCCCCCACACACACACCCCCTCCCCCCCACACACACACCCCCTCTCCCCACACACACACACACACCCCACCCCCCACACACACACACCCCTCTCTCCACCCCCCCACACACACACCCCTCTCCCCCCCCCCACACACACATACCCCACTCTCCCCCCCACCACACCCTTCAAACCTGCTACTTCCCTCCTGCTTCAACCTACTAGCACTGGTCTCGTGTGTGTGAGGAAACTTGTTGGCTGACGTAGTGAACAGCTCGAGATAGTGATCAAGAACTGTGATGAAGGAATACCAGTGACGCCTCAGTTGCCCCCCCGCCATTATTGCTATTTCATGTTGCTCTTGTTTTTAACTTGGCGAAAAAATCAACGTTTGGCGATTCGTTTGGCGAAGCATTAAACATTTGGTGATATTTTTTAAGTTGGCGAAACACTAAAGCATTGGCGAGTTTTTATTTTATTTTTTTTTTAAGTAGGTGAAAAATTCAAGTTTGGCGAATTTTTCTAACTTGGCAAATAACACTAAATTTTTTGGCGATTTTTTTTCAATTGCCGCAAGATTATTTGTTTGATTTTTTTTAATTATTTAACGAAATGTTGAAAATCTGACGATATAAAAAAAATGACGAAAGAATAAACATTTGGCTATGTTTTACAAATGGCGAAAAATTAAACATTTGGCCCAAAAAAAATATATATGTACTGTAGAGTTTTGCTTTAAAATAGCGAAAAACACGTTGGTAATTTATTTTCATTTAGCGAGGAAATAAAACGATCGACCATTTTTCCATTTAGCGAACAAATCAATGCCTGGCAAATGTTTTGATCTTAAAACTGGTGAAGAAAATTAACGTTCGGCGATTTATTTTAAGTTGGAGATAAAATTACAAACACGATTTTTTTTTTATGATTTTGCAGTTTTTCAGTCACGCTATGTCCAGTAATTATCTGCTGTTACCTGGTTACCTGTTGTTTACCTGATACTTAGCTACCTGTATATCTGTTACCTGTTACTTTGCTACCTGCTTACTTGTTACTTGATTGTCTGTTACAATTACCTGCGTAGCTTTTTATCTATTGTTATCAGTATCGCAGACAGCCTCCAGCAGCCTCGTGTCAGTACCGCAGACAGCCTCCAGCAGCCTCGTGTCAGTACCGCAGACAGCCTTCAGCAGCCTCGTGTCAGTACTGCAGACAGCCTCCAGTCAGTACCACAGACAGCCTCCAGCAGCTCCTGTGTCAGTACTCGCAGACAGCCTCTTGTGCCTGTGTCAGTACTCGCAGCAGACAGCCTCCAGCATTTCCAGTCAGTATACTGCAGACAGCCTCCAGCAGGCTTCCAGTCAGTATACTGCAGACAACCCCCAGCAGCCTCCAGTCAGTATATCGCAGACAGCCACCAACAGCCCTGTGCTAGTATTGCAGGACAGCGCCTCCAGCAGCCCTGTGTCAGTACTCTGCAGACAGCCTCCAGCAGCCTCATGTGGCAGTACCTCGCAGACAGCTCCAGCAGCCTCATGTGAGTACTGCAGACGGCCCAGCAGCCTCCAGTCAGCATATTGCAGACAGCCTCCAGCAGTCTCTCGTGTCAGTACTGCAGACAGCCTCTTCAGCACCCTCGTGTCAGTATACTGCAGACAGCCTCCAGCACCCTGTGTCAGTATACCGCAGACAGCCCCAGTCAGTATACTGCAGACAACCTCCAGCAGCCTCCAGTCAGCATACTGCAGACAGCTCTCCAGCAGCTCTGTGTCAGTACTCACAGACAGCTCCCCAGCAGCATGTCAGTGCAGCCTGCAGACAGCCTCCTGCAGTCTGTGTCAGTGCCACAGACAGCCTCCAGCAGCCTCTGTGTCAGTACCTGGCTCAGACAGTCCCCAGCAGCCCCGTGTCAGTACTGCAGACAGCCTCCTGCAGCCTCGTGTCAGTACCGCAGACAGCCTCCTGCAACCTCCAGTCAGTATACCGCAGACAGCCTCCAGCAGCCTCGTGTCAGTACCGCAGACAGCCTTCAGCAGCCTCGTGTCAGTACTGCAGACAGCCTCCAGTCAGTACCACAGACAGCCTCCAGCAGGCTCGTGTCAGTACCGCAGACAGCCTCCAGCAGCCTCCAGTCAGTATACCGCAGACAGCCTCCAGCAGCCTCCTGTCAGTCCTGCAGACAGCCTCCAACACATTACCTGCTCGTCTGTTCTGCTTTCTGCTGTTCAACCCTGTTTAGCTTAGACTTCTTGTTTCTGCCTCAGTAAACTTGTCTGCTGATGGTGAGATTGCTTCCAGCGCAGGACGGATGGCGGCATATATACACCACAATAGTCTGCTCTTACACTCTCCTTCTGTTCTGCTTTTTTTCTGCTTGCGAGTTCTCCTTCTCCATTGTCTTTTGGTGTCTGCTTGAGGGGCGGGACGGGTGAAGAGATTTTATACTAGACAGACAGACACACACACACACACAGAGAGACACACACACACACACACACAGGCTAGACAGAAGACACACACACACACACACACACAGGGCACAGACAGAGAGAGAGACACACACACACACACACACACCATCTCTGCTTGCTCTCTTTCCCACACCAATATACAATCTGCTGACCAATCCTGTTTCTCCCTCTCTCTCTCTCTCTCTCTCTCTCTCTCTCTCTCTCTCTCTCTCTCTCTCTCTCTCTCTCTCTCTCTCTCCTGCTTGAAGAGAAACTGATGTAGACGCCAGCAAGAGTGAACGGACAAAACTCTACACACACACACACACACACACACACACACACACACACACACACACACACACACACACACACACACACACACACACGACGTCTTCATCCCTCTCACTCCTTGTGTCTATCTTCCCCTAACAGGTCCGTCTTGAGGAGGGAACTAACTGGCTGGTGTTGCATGATGGACACAATACTTCAAGAGTTAACCGAGAGGTGAGGGGAAGGTGAGAGGGGAGGGGGAAGGGAGAGGTGAGGGGTGAGGGTGAAGATGAAGACATCGTGTACACCCACCGCCTTTTAAAATGCCCTCTGTCTGCTCTTCCTTTCTGCTTTTGCTTTCTTTTTAGTCACTACCACTTGAGAGAGAGAGAGAGAGAGAGAGAGAGAGAGAGAGATATGAGCAGTACACGTGTTAAAGGTTAATGATGATGTAGTGTATCAGAGAAGACGTCACCCAGTAAGTACCTTGCTGGTGTGTTGCCTTCCTGAGTGTGATGATGAGTGCTGTTAATATAGTACACGTGAAGGTCGTGTGTGGTGGTGATGGTGGTGGTGGTGGGGATAGTGGTGGTGGTGGCGGAGATAATGGTGGTGGTGGCGGAGATAATGGTGGAGATAATGGTGGTGGAGATAATGGTGGGGTGGGTGGTGGTGGTGGGGATAGTGGTGATGATGATGGTGGTGGTGGAGATAATGATGACAATGATTAATAATAACGATGATATACGTACCTAATACAGCTCGCTCTTCAAGTTACCATAATTATAAAACATAGTTCACCCAAGTCTTTATGCGAGTATATATACCATTAATTAAACTGTAAATACAATAATACCTTAAGACATTGTGTGTGTAAGGTAATTATAAGAAGGAAAGTAGAGAAGATTGTGAAACGGAAGGAGAAATTACTATACTGCGGCCGCGTCAGGAAGAACTGGTGAAAGGGTATGGACGTTAAGATGGTTTTGGCCGCGTGAGGAGTGAGAGGTATAAGAGATACTAATACTAAGGAGAAGAACGGGAGATAGAGCAGAGTTGTGACAGAAATGGATAAACAAAGGAGAAGAGGAAGGCGAGGGAGGGGGGGAGGAGAAAGTGAAGGAGGAGGAGGAGATGGGGTGGAGAGGGAGGAGGGAGGGGGTGGTGGAGGAGAGGAGGATGGAGGAGGGGAGGAGGGGAGGAGGGAAGGAGGGTGGAGGAGAGGAGGAGGGGGTGGAGGGGAGAGGGGGGTGGAGAGATGGAGGAGGGGGGTGGAAGAGAGGGGGAGGGTGGAAGAGGAGAGGGTGGAAGAGGGTGGAGAAGGAAGGAGGTGTGGTGTGGAGGAAGGGAGGAGGGAGGGAGGAGGGTGGAGGGAGAAGGAGGGGGGTGGAGGAGGGAGTGGAAGGAAGGAGGGGTGGAGGGAGGGGGGGGTGGAGAGGGGAGGGGGTGGAAGGAGGGGGAGGAGGAGGACACCTACACGAAGGAGGGGCTGTAGAGGAGCCGCGAGTTTGCCAAAAGAAATGCCACAAAATCGGGCGGGGTGGCGGAGGAAAACCTGCCTCAACGTTGACTAATGGGCACAGGTCCTCGGGGGTTAGGGGACGTTCGGGGCCTATTAGGTCGGGGGGGGTGGGGCGGCAGGGGAAGGAGGGAGCTGGGAGGTCGTAATAGTAAACGAAAAAAAGTTGCAGTATCACCTGTTGATTTGGTATATTTTCACCTGATGATTAAACACCCTAACGCTACCTGGTGTTGTGTTAGGTTAGGTTAGGTTAGGTTAATTTCGGCTAATGTTAGGTTAGGTAATCTAATCATCAGATGAAATTAGCTGGGGGTGTCTAATCCTCTCAAAATCCCTGTAATCAGCTGGCCCGTCATAATTGCTTGCTTGGTGTAGGGCGCTGGTCAACAACCCTTTCTATCTGTAGTTACAAAGAGTTAACTGGGTGAGGCAGGAGAGCAGCGTAGGTATGAAGACAAAGAGGTCAAGCACACAGGCAAACAGACGATTGGTGCTCCATATGGTGACGAGGAAGGGATGAAGGGTGACGAGTGAGTAACGCATGGACAGAAAGACACACACACAGACGGACGGATATAATATCAAGCAGGGAGACAACAAGGTATATAAAGCAAACAAGCAATCAGAGAGGCAGCTAGAAGTCGTGGCTGGCTGGCAGGTGATAGGCCTATAGTATACACGACCGTCCCCGCCTCAGGCATTATACACAACTTTCTAATTCTCTCCCTGAAGTTAGTTTTGCATTCTGAATTGTTTTGTTTTTCACCTGATGACTGACTGAACATCCTAACCCTGTTACCTGGGGGGGGGGGGTTTAGGTTAGGGTTAGGTTAGGTTAGGGTTAGGTTAGGGTTAGGTTAGGTTAGGTTAGGTTAGGTTAGCAATAAGGTGGTTAGTGTTAATAGGAAATAACCTGAAGTGCCTAATCTTGAGGCGGAATTTTTACTCCTATTTAATGTCTTTTAACGAGTTAGGTTGGTGGTGCCGTGTAAGTACTGTACGGCGGGCAGTGTAGTCTTACCTCTCTTATGTCCGTAACTACAGTAAGGACCGTACGTACCTAAGGACCGTACGAAACTAAGGACCGTACGAAACTAAGGACCGTACGTAACTGAGGACCGTACGTAACTAAGGACCGTACGTAACTAAGGACCGTACGTAACTAAGGACCGTACGTAACTAAGGACCGTACGTAACTAAGGACCGTACGTAACTAAGGACCGTACGTAACTAAGGACCGTACGTGAACGTAAGGGACCGTACGTAACTAAGGACAACCTAAGTACGTAACTCGGACCGGTAACTAAGGACCGTACGTAACTGAGTACCGGACCACGAACATACGTAACTCCGTACGTAACTAAGGACATGTACGTAACTCGAGATATGTAGCGTAAACTCAAGGACGAAAAGATCTTCAACGTTCAAACTTGGGGTCAACAGATCAGAGGTCGAGGTTACAGCTTTGAAAAATGGTAGGACCCGGTGTGATCTACCACCGCCCTCGAGTGAAGCCTGAGGGGTGGGTAGTGAGGGGAGGGTGGTGGTGGTGAATGGTGAGGGGGGTGGTGGGAGGTAGGGATGGAGGTGGGTGGTGAGGGTAGTGGTGGGTGGTGAGGTAGTGGTAGTGAGGGAGTGTGGTGGGGGAGGGTGTGGTGGGGGGTGGTGGTGGGTGGTGAGGGGTGGGTGGTGGGGTAGTGGTAGGAGGGTGGTGGGGGAGGGTGGTGGTGGTGGTGGGTAGTGGTTACTGAGGGGGGTAGTGGTGGGAGGGTAGGGATGGAGGTGGGTGGTGGGTAGTGGTGGGTGGTGGGGTGGTGGTAGTGGGGGAGGGTGTGGTGGTGTGGTGGGGAGGTGGTGGTGGGTGGTGAGGGTGGTGGGGGTGGGTGGTGGGAGTAGGGAGGGTGGGTGGGGGTGGTAGTGAGGAGGTGTGGGAGGGGTGGTGGTGGGTGGTGGTGGGGGGAGTGGTGGTGGTGGTGGAGGGGAGTGGTGGGGAGGTGGTGGAGGTGGGTGGTGGGGGTGAGTGGGTTGGTGAGGGGAGGGTGGGGGGGAGGGTGGGGGTGGGTGGTGGGGGGAGGGCGGTGGTGGGTGGTGAGGGTAGTGGTAGTGGGGGAGGAGGAGTGAGGGGGAGGGTGGTGGTGGGTGGTGAAGGTGGTGGTGGTGGGGGAGAGGGTGGTGGTGGGGAGGGGGATGGAGGTGGTGGTGAGGGAGGTGGTGGGTGGTGAGGTGGTGGTGGTGGTGGTGGTAGTGGTAGGGTAGTGGTGGAGGTGAGTGGTGAGGGTAGTGGTGGAGGTGGTGATGAGGGTAGGGTAGTAGTGAGGGTAGTAGTGGTGGTGAGGGTAGTGGTGGGTGGTGAGGGTAGTGTTGTGGTGGTGCGAGAAGTGGTGTGTGTGATGGTGGGGGTGGGTGGCACAACAGGTGGTTTTGGGATAAGGGCAGGGGTGGGCTGGTTGATGGAGGGTGGCACAACGGCGGGTGGGTGGCAGTACAGCGGCTAGTGGGTGGAAGGGAAGGTAAGTGGCACAAATATGGGTGGGAGGATGGGTGGTGCAGAAAATGGAGAAGGTTTGTTTAAAAACACTGGAGGAAAGTATCAAGTGGAAGCTCCGGTACTAGACAGACTGGAGAGTGAAGGGTGGAGTGGCGAGGGTGGAGAATGATGGGTGGAGGGTGGACAGTAGGCGGTGGAGGTAGGGCGTGGTGTTGGGATAACTAAAGTCATGGGTAAGTAACAGAGCCACGGGAGTACTCAACACAGGTAGCCTACGTCAGGTGGTCCAGCCAGTCATCTACGTGTGGATCTTTCTAGGAAATTGTTGGTGTCCCGGGAGCAGAGAGCGAGCAGACGGAGGCCCAGACACGCGTCATTACCGAGAGCTTCTGGTGTTGGCTGCTGTGACAAGTGAGGATGCCAATTGTGTGTGCAATGTCGGTGTGATGGAGACACCATCTACGGCAGGCTGAGGGGGAGGCTGCACGTTAAATATATTACCCACGACCCGAGTAAGACAGGGGGTGAGGGTAAAAACAAACTCCTGAAAAAAGAAAGTTATCTCAGCTCGCCAGTACTTGTTTCCTTCGGACGTTGAGCCTTGGTGTGATTTTCGAGGGGAAGGGCAGCCATAGTGGCATTATGTGGTGGGTGTGGTGTGGGCTGGACCTGAGAGCCACTCTGCGCTCTACACTCCCCCCAACACACGGAGAACAGCCACCTACACCCCAGGAAGGACCACCGATATTGCAATTATTCCTGCAGGAATTCCTCGACTTTCAAAAGTAATCCTTATTGTATCTCCAATTAGGGATGAAATCCCGGAGAATCCGAATAATTATCACTCCCTTTGGCTTTTTTTTCCCGGGAGGCGAGACGTAAACATCAGATCGCCCGTCGCCGCCTGGACGTAGAGGCGGGTCTCGCGGATGCTCCAGTTTGCTCAGCCAGCAGCCAGTTTTTCTTCCTTGACCTTTCAGACGAAAATGTTGAACAGGTTTGGCGTCACTAAAACTACATTGGAATTTCAATATGTGTTTTTTGCCTCTGAAGTGCAGATTTCCCACTCACTGACTAGGTAGTGTGTAAAGGTATGAGGCTGAGGTAGTTGTTAGCGTCGCCCCTGGACGGTGGGGACGTTAACTCCTCCCTGACGTATCCTAATACTTGCCTCAACCTGTCGCACCTTCAGCCCCACCTTCGTTACGCGCCGACCTCGTAAAC